CCTTGAGCTCCTGACCTGGCTCCCCTATTTAATGGAGTGTAAGTTGTAAGCTGAAATAAACCCTCCCCCACACCCCCCTCCGCTCTCCGAAAGTTGCTTTTGGTCAATGTTCGATCACAGCCACAGAGCAAAGCAAACTAGAACAAAAGCTTTCTCACAATCCTTCCATCCATAGGATTCCCTCCAGGGTGACTTTTCAGAGGATGAGCTCTGGCTGAAAGTCTTCCCACATTGTCTGCTTCACTGGAGTTTTTTTTCTCTCCAGTGTGAACTCCCTACTGTTGGGAGCCAAAAGGCCAGAAGAGAAACATCTTTATGGCTTTGAGAAAAAGACAGCTTTATGGTTTCCTGCGAATCTTTATGGTCTTAATGGTTTTCTGTAAGTTTCTATAAGATAATACCTGGTTGAGGAATGTGGGAAAACAAATTGTGACCCAGGTCAAGTCAGCCTTGAGAAATATTTACTACCGATGTTAGTCCTGGGAAATGTTAACCACATGCCTTCTCAGACAAACCCCTCTGCCCCTCTTTGACAATTAGCCCTTAGTGGAAAATTCCACCAGAGCCCCTCTTCCTTTTTCTCTATTCCCGCCTTCCACTACCCCCGCCCTGAGCCCACTATAAATATATGCTGTGTGTACTCAATAAACGGAGCTTGATCAGAACACTGTCTTGCTCCCTTTCTTCGTGTTCCTTGTTTGTCATTCTTTCTAGGACCCCCACTCGTCGTGCCACTGTAGAAGTGTCCTGCAGGTCGGGACATTCCTGGCGCCCAACGTGGCTCATGAGTCCAGCTCGAGAGACGAGTGGGGAGATCCAGAAGGAACGTCGGTTCCCCCAACTGGCCTGCGCAGGCAACCCCCTCAGGATCGCCACAGTCCACCGCTGTGAGACAGATCATTCTCGGGATCGCCATGGTCGACCGCCGTGAGACAGATCGCATTGGTAAGATGAACCGACGCATTACACACAAACAAGCATTCAGTATCAGTCCCTTTGAAGGTAGGGACCCCAGTCTCTGACAAGATCTGCCAGCCTGCTTTGAGTAGGAGGAGTGGTGTATTGTTCCTCCTAAGCCATCCACCGAAGACCTACGGTTACAACAAGGCGACTGGGTCTCTCGGATGTGTGTCAGCACAAATACTGACCGGCAAATCTCACGCAGGGGCGATATTTAAGAGGCATGGGCAATACTTCTAGCTCCCAGGAACAGTTTGTTCAGGGACTCAAGGAGTCTCTCAGAGCACGAGGAATTAAGGTCTCAAGAAAAGATTTAAAACAGTTTTTTATTTTCATCCATGACACCTGCCCCTGGTTCCCTGTCGAGGGAACAATAAATGCCAAAAAATGGGATAGAGTGGGAGATGCATTAAAAGATTATTATCAGACATTTGGGCCAGAAAAGGTCCCTGTGACTACTTTCTCCTATTGGAATTTAATTCACGATATCCTTAAAGCCCATCCCTTGGATCCAGATATTCAAGAAATTATTAAAACTAGTGAAAAGGCTCTTAAAAATAATACTCCACCAGTCACAAATGAAGCACAGGCAGTTATTCCTCCTGGATTCTTAACACAAATACAAAACACGGCTCTCAGAGGCTGGCAGCACCTCCCCCCAAAGGGGCCCGCCACCTCCTCTCTGGCAAAGATCCACCAGGGCCCGGATGAGTCATACGCTGAGTTTATCAGCCACCTAACAAATGCTGCTGAAAGATTAGTGGGAGAATCCGAAGATAGTGCCTTTGTAAAACAATTGGCTTGGGAAAAGGCTAACTTTCTATGTAAAGAATTAATAAGACCAATTAAGAAAACAGGCTCTTTACAGGATTATGTAAAAGCCTGCATAGATGCCTCACCAGCAGTGGTCCAAGGAATGGCCTATGCTGTAGCAGTAAAGGGACAGCATTTCAGCACCTATGTTCAGAATCTTAAAAGCAAGCCTCAGACCAATTACGAGGGGGTCTGTTTCTCATGTGGAAAGCCAGGTCACATGAGTAAAGAACGTTTCAGTAAAAATAAAAGGAGCAATAATGGAGAGAGAAAACCTGGTAATAAGCGAGAACCTCCTGGGATCTGTCCTAGGTGCAAGAAAGAAAAATATTGGAAAAATAAATGTAAGTCTAAGTATCATAAAGATGGGACACCCCTAAATAAAAAAATAAATAAATACATAAATAAATAAATAAAATAAAATAAAATGAGGAGAGGGACAAACCCTCAGCCCCTTAAAAGAAAGAGGGATAGAGATAATAAATTCAAGTAAGGAAAAAGACAAACAATTTAAACTAAATCCTTTGACTGAACTTTTTAGTATGTATGATCTTCCTAGAGCCACTCCAGGAAGTCCTAGGTTGGATTTGGCAGCAAATAAAGATTATATACTCTCCCTTATGGAAGGGACCCAATTAATAGATAGAGACCTCCATTAAAGGAGGTCTGCCTTTGGGTACATTTGGCTTAATAATTGACAGAAGTTCAAATTATAAAAAGAATTTTGAAGTGATTCCAAGAGTCATAAACTCTGATTTCACTGGAGAAATAAAAATAATGATTAAACCTCTTAAGTGGTACAGATATATAAAAATCAGAGAATGGCCCCTTACCTCAGAGAAAATACAGGCTGTAGAAGAATTAGTGAAAGAACAGCTAGATAAAGGACATTTAG